GCATCAATTATCTGTTAAACGCCCTTGTTAAGGTGGGTGGTCAGCATTTACAGCAACTAAAAACACCAGCCACCACAAGGACCGTATGTGTTTTCCACGTATCTTGTGCTGATTCCAATTCATTAGACTTCAATTAACACGTCATCCCTGCTGTTATGAATCAATAGCTCTTGGTGACAGGTGATGAATTTTTCAGCTTAAAAAGCTAAACATCATTTATTCAAATCACCTGCTAAGGTCTCAGGTGCTAAATGAGTTTACTGAAATGCCTAATGCTCATTTAGACAAATGTTCTCTCGTCCTAATGATGAGAACGTTTTGCATTGAGAACAGGAAGGGGGGTGAGAAAGACGCACAACAGCAGTTACCTTTCAGTTTTTAGCACCGTAATGTGTTGCTAAATCGATAACAGTCCAGACTGAATGCATGAAGTTGGAGGTAATGCTGGTGTTTTGTGCAGCGGGGTGGTGGAGGCCCGGGGAGTGAATAAATACGCTCATGCCGCTAGACCCAGCTGGAGAAGGAAAAGAACCAGCCTTCTGGTGCTCGGGGAACTTGCTGAGATAATCGGCTTCATGGGGGTGTTATGAAGGAAACACGGCAAGAGAGACAACTAAATGAGCACATGGGCTAAATACTGTCTGAAGATGATAGCAAAGAAACAGAGAGGGAAAAAACAACAACTTTCAGTTCTTATGTAAAGGAGTTTCTTCAACTATGGGCAATTTTGGACCTAATTAACTCACTTTTCAAATTCACTAGTTCGTCTAACAATGTCCAACAGTGTCCAAAAGTTGTTGATGTATCCTAAATACATCATTACATATTTTGACACTTTTTGTATAACTGCACCAAAGTGATATTTACCTGAATTTTTCTGTTTTCTTCACAGATCATATACTACTGTTCAAAATCATTTTTAATTTATGTTATTAAAGGGGTCATATGATGCTGCTTCCAAAGAGAAAGGAAAAATTGAAAACGCATCATATGACCCCTTTAAAAGTCTCTTATGCTCAACAGGCTGCATTTATTTGATCAAAAATACAGTAACATTATTACAATTTAAAATATCTATTTCTATTTTAATATATTTTAAAATGTAATTTATTCCTGTGATGGCAAAGCTGAATTTTTAGCAGCCATTACTACAAAAAAGCAATAATTTCTTAAAAAGTACTAATTTCTCAAAAGCATCAATTTCTTAAAATGCATTTGAAAGATAGTTAAAAAAAAGTTATGGTACAAGAAAGTTGTGATGTGACCTTCATATAACAAAAAGAAAGAAATGGTTAAAATATAATCATTTCAATAAAATATTAAGGTAATTGTGTTTGACCTAGAATCGTAAACATTTGTATGGCCGGTAAAAACTTTGGTCATACATGACAATGAAGGCAAAAAATTATATCATGCACATGAATATCAACAATCTCATTTATAAAACCAGACCTGAAGAGGACTTCTGCAAAATATTGTTCTTATTCGACCGCATTTACATCGTACAGGCTGTCTAATCACACACTCCAACCGTTTCCTGGCTAAAACCAAGCCAATCCTAACGTAAAAGGCCCTGGTGGTCATTATGAACGCCTCTTCAGTCCATCTAATGGACCATCTCTTTCCTCACTTCACCAAAAACACAAGAGCACATGAATATTTACCACCAAGCAAAGCCATTCCATTAATCGGTTTGCGAATGCTTAAATAGCATATCTGTCGCTACTTCTACGGTGGGGTCATAAATGAACATTCCTGCTTCATTAGCATATTAATTTATGCAGAGATTGAGTGCAGCTCATAGGCTGTGACCAGCTCCTCTTCTCCCTATTGGTCAAGGAAGCAAATTTATCCAGTGTCAAGCACTCTGACAAGCACTGCTCAAAAATATTGTAGAATGGTGTTGTAAACTATTAGAGGAACTGTCCACTCCATACAATAAAAAAGAAAAGAAAATTTGAAGAACGATCATGTTTCTCTTTCGTATAAAATGAAAACATACAGTGACTGTAAAACAGAAATGACAAAAAGCACCATAAAAGTAGTCTATTTGATTATATAAAAGTAGTCTATTAGTATATTTAAGATTTATCTATTTAATTTCCATCCATTTTAGTAATTTTATTTATTTCTACATATCATACAAAAGCTGTATGACTTTATAAGACTTGGAATATTGCAAGCAATATATACCTGCTGTAAAACAAAAAAAGGGTAAAAGAACAGTGAACATTCTTCAAAATGTCAAGGTCAACTTTTCTATTAAACTTCTATTAAACTTGTATGTTGTATGTTTCAATATATGTTGAACAAAAAAAAAACTTAAACTACTGAACTAAAAAATGACAATCGCATCAGAAAATAAAATAAAAAAAGAGACACCGCAAATGAGAGACTGAGCAGAGGACAGGCTGTGATATCTATATTGAGTCCATTTGTGTTTGTTTTTAGGGTGTGTGCACATGATTTTCCAAGTCACTGTCTGTGCTCTGAAATACAGGAAAATTGCATGACTCACTTTGAGACAAATGCAGCTGTTTACAAAGGCCTGACAAAAAGGTGACTGAACTGAAGTCTCTCTCTCTCTTTCTCTCCTACTCACTCTCTCACCAGAGCCTCATTTCAACTATTACCAAAAACCTGAAAGTAATTTTTGTGATTCGCTTACAAGCAGGCTTCGCCCATTGTTTTGCACATCCACGTTCGTGTAAACAACGGCGGTTTCCGACATGCAAACAGACGCAAAACCTAATTTATCTGAGCTTGTACGTGGGTCACTTGAGCTTCTGGAGGCCGAGCCAGTCGGTACATAGTCTGCTGAATGTCAGGCTGTCTGAGTCTAGACATTTTTTCGGACCTGCCCTCACGTTTTGCTGAGCTAAGAACAAAGTACACAGAGTACACACACACACATAGCTATCACAGTCTTAATACCAAGGCAGCGGTATTTCGTTCCTATCCCAAAACAAACAACGCAGTGCATTTCTTTACACTATTTAAATATTAACAGGCAAGAGCGCAGGCTGAATAGAGCATTCTTTCACTCTGGATACCAGAAACGGCCCAGCCAGACTTTCAAAACATGTTCTAATGAAATCATCCAAAAGATAAATAAAAAGCTGCACTTGTTTTCTTTTCTGAGCTCACCTCCCCCTCTTCTTTCTTTTCCTTTTTTTGTAATTGGATTATACTTTTTTGAGTGCAGACCATCAGCTCCATGAGAGCATGGAACTACTGTAGAGCGATTTCTCATTCTCGCTTCCTCTGACATGACAATTATACAGCTAAGGACTAAGGATATGAGGGTTAACACAGGTCTTATACTGAAACTGAGGGTTTTAACCCAGTTATGCAATGTTATCTTTATGAGCAGTGAAATATTATAGTTTTATTAATGACCAACACCAATATTGATATCTAGAGGCTAGGGTTAGCAATGTAATATAATCATAGCAAATATGATTTACACAAAATTGTACTTATGTTCCATGATATTTACTCAAAAGCACTCAAAAACTATTTGAGAATGTCTATTTGAAAACAAAAAATTATACATGTGCATTATACATTGACGATTTGCTGCTGCCAATGCCACTATCTAGAGAGCAGGACCGTTCAATATTACACTACACATAGTAAATAAGATATACACAAAATCAAAACTGTAAATACAAGAAAATTAAATATACAAAATGCAAAAAATAAAACATACATAAAAAAGCTAATAAAATGTGCATTATCCATTCACAAATATTTCAGTAGAAATGGCCAAATATCTGTCAATTAATCTGTCTTGCTGATATATATAGACTACCATTAAAAAGTTTGAGAGAAACTAATATTTTATTATTTTATTACTCATTATTTAAAAAAAAATAAAACTTTTATTCAGCAAGGATAAAATAAATGCTGTTCTTATGAACTTTTCTATTCATTAAAAAAATCCTGAAAAAATATCACTGTTCTGACAAAAAAAAAGCAGCACTACTGCTTTAAACATTGATAATAATAAGAAATGTTTCAGCAAATTGGCATATATGATTTCTGAAGTATCATGTGACACTGAAGACAAAGAAGAGTGTCTGATCGATCGATACACACAGACAGACAGACATGGTTATCCTAACCATTTCACATACTTCTTTTTGATCATATCATAAATTTTTATGGTTAATGTCTATGTATGATCTCAACCATGCTTTAACATCTACTCTGACATCATATTTCCTCTTTCTCCCCACCAATCACCTTTTTCTCTAGATCTCTCTCTTTTTCTCATCCGTTCTCCTCTCCTTTGACCTCAGATCCTGTGCACTATTAATACCAATAACTCACAAATTCCATTTCCCTGTGCAGAGACAGAGTGAAAGTAAGCTTAGTGACTGAGGAAAGAGCAAAATCTCTCAATACAGATTCATTTCTTCTTTTGAGGCAAATATTTAATTGGACAGGAGAGAGTGGAGGCAGATACCGTGTGGTTTGCTCAGAAAGAGAGAATGAGAGAGTGAGAACGAGAGGGATCCAAGGTGCACAGTAAGAAATGTAAGCGTTTTAGACAGTATTTTTAGCCCAGGGAGCAAGGGGAAGAATAAATGCATCGCTTAAAATCTGTGAACACTTACCCATGAACTTAACCCAGTTCTCCACAAGCCAAATCCAAACAATTCCAGCGTCCCACACTTTGACCTGCACTATAACAAAAGTCCTCTCTTCACCAGCTGCCTCTTTATCAAGTAGTAAGCGAGGTGCGAGCAGTGTGCAACCAGCAGCCTTGCCCCGTTCGCGCTCTCTGGCTCGCACACACATGCACTCTCGTCTCGGGGGCTGGAGGTATGTGGTCTAAACACAACAAAAAGCCTGAGTCGAAGATTGAATATGCAGGAAGAGGGCCTCCGTTTGCATAAACACAAACACTCAGCAAATGAAGGGTTGGCACCGATTGCACCACTGCCTGCTGGGAAATGCATACCTATCCCGTTCTGACCCTGGAATACTTTAATCAAACTACAGCTGAGAAGACATGGACTACACTGGAGATAAACTACAAATGTTTGGTTTGATGATCCCCAAATGAGTAAGTGCAA